TAACCCAAGGTTTTGTAAATCCGAGGGTTGGGGTGTGACAGATAGGGTTCATAGGCTTCACGCGAATCAGGGTAGATTTGGATGCTTCAAAACCCCTACCAGCCAAATTTAGTATGTCGTGCCCTGTGCATGGAACTCGTACCATCCGGCTTCAGTACGAAGGTCTTCGTGACTTCTGCTTCGCTTGCGACCGCCTTGGCCACTCAAGGGGATGTCGTTGAAATTCTGACCCGAGGCTTCTTTCCCTTGGCCTCCGTTACGATGAATCGCTCCGTGCTCCTCCTATATCCCATGCATCCACGAGTCTGTTCCTGACGAGCGGTGGAGCACGCGCAGACCAATCTCGCCGATGGGGTAAAAGGTCATACATGGCCAACGCCGGTGGAAGGGGAAGGCATAATGGGCATTTACCTTTGGTCAACAGACAGGCTCTGCCTTCCGACAATCCAGCTGCTGCCATGTTTGCACTGCTGACCCAGCCTGCATTGCTGCAAGGTAAGACAAACGGGGCTGAGCAGACTGATACGATCCTACAACCTGCCATGCTGCAACATGGGACTGATGCCGCAGGCACCTCAAGACGCATGCCTACCTTAGCTGACTATGCTAGGAGGTGGGATCCTGAGAGCTTTGGGACCTAGTTCTATAATGGCACTTTATCCGTGGCAATAAATGGTCTTTTGCTGGAAAGGGATTGGTGCGATCCTCTCCGGGTTCCACCCTGGGCCCTGGGCCAATGGGATTTTCAAATCCAGATATTGGCTTGGATTTGGGCCACACCCAACCGAGCACGGCAAGAAGTTGTGCCCACATCCATCAGATTGCGGAGGCAAGGTTAGGCCACTCATCCACGGTTCAAATTGATGATATTCCCAATGGTGAGCTTGCTTCAGGGGATGGGCTGGTCCTTGAGGAAACTGATTCGTCCTCCTCCTTGGGGCCTCTTCTGGTCTTGGGTCAACCAAAGAGGAAGCTCCCTGACCCTTGGCTTGATTCGGATGAAAAATAGTGCTTATCTGCTGCTTCACTTTCGAAGAAAGCTAGGCCTTCTTTCAGCCCCACTACTAGCTGCTCCCTCCGTCTGTCCAATAGAAGAGGGCGGGGAGCCAGGGGTCGTAACAAGGGTGGTCGGGGTCGACAATCTGGGGCAAGGATTTATGCTCAGGGGACTCAGGCTCTTCCAACTAAAGGACCGAGTTCGGAATTATGTGAAGTCCAAGTCGGCCCTTCTAAGGAATTGGCAGCTTGGGAAGCAAAGAGAAATGGTAAGAGGAAGGAGGATGTTAAACCCCTCCAGGGTGGTGGCGGATAGCCGCACGTCAGTTATAATACAGCTCTCCTGGAATTGTCAAGGGTTGGGGAACCCCTTGACAGTTCTGTATCTGAAAGAGCTCATTAGCTCTAAAAATCCCACTGTGGTGTTTCTGATGGAGACCAAACAGAATCATCACAGAATCAACGCTCTTCGTCGCCATTGTGGTTTCTATAAGGGGTTCTCAGTGGATCCGGTTGGCCTGGCCGGTGGTTTGAGTATTTGGTGGAAGCCGAGTATAGAGGTTAGCATTCTGGACTCCTCAAAATGTTGGATTGATGCTGTGATTAAGGTCAAGGCCGATGACTTGATTGCAAGATGTATGTGGCTATATGGTACACCATATAGTAGTGAAAAACCTTCTTTCTGGGCAAATTTGCACTCCTTGGGTATCATGGGCAACCTCCCGTGGGTCATTATTGGTGATTTAAATGAAATTTGCTGGGAGTCTGAAAAAGAAGGGGGACGGGGATGGGATGCTAATCGCCGACGTTATTTATTGGAGTTTATGGATCATTTTGGGCTAGTGGACCTCGGCTTTGTGGGCCAAGCCTTCACCTAAGAGCGGGTCAATAATATTACCCATCTTCAGGAAAGGCTAGATAGGGGCCTAGCTGACCTTCGTTGGCTAGAAAGATAGCCCAACTCGTGTGTTTCCCATTGTGCCCGCTTTGGCTCTGACCACTGTCCTATCCTCCTTGACAACAACCCAGTTTTTATCAAAGGTCATAAACTCTTCAAATTTGAAGCTCAATAGGCTGAGGACCCCACCTGCTCGGAGGTGATTTCTAATTGTTGGAGGAGAAATCTCTTTGGCTCCTACTTAAGCCAATGGTCCCGTAATCTGACTCACTGCAAAAATGGTCTCATCCGGTGGAGCAAGGATCGCCATCCTAATAACAAAGTCCGTATCAAGCACCTTCTCGGTTCTCTTGAGGATGCTCAGTCCGCCCTTCCTATTGGGGACTCTAATGTGACTGTTGATACCATCCAAAGCGAGTTGGCCCAACTTTGGAAGAATGAAGCGCTTTACTGGAGCCAAAGGTCAAGATTAAAGTGGCTGCAAGTGGGTGACACGAACTCCAAATTCTTCCACCTCTCAACCATCCAACGCAGACAACAAAATAGGGTGCTCAAAATTAAAAATGAGAACGGTGAGTGGCTATCTGGAGAGAAAGGGTCCACGTGGAGTTCCACAACTATTTTAACACTTTTTTTTTCCTCGGATGGCCCTAGAGAGTGGGGTACTATCCTT